GGCTCGATGCCTTAAATGTCTCCGTATTTCTAGACTAGCTAAAATAGTGGCAGGGATAAATTGGTCTTTTTCTTATGCCAACCTTTTCATCTTCCATATTTTCTCATTATTTTTCACTATAGTAATTGTTTCTCCTAAAATTTAATTTGGGTAACACAACACTTACGTACAATTAAAAAGTTTTTCATGTCTTGCGTAATTCTCAACAGTGGTTCAAAGGTGGTAAAACAAACATATGTTACAACTGCTTGGATAGAAATATCGATGCTGGAAATGGTGACAAAGTTGCAATTTTATGGGAAGGAAATGACCTCGGTCGTGATGCCACTTTAACGTACACTCAACTTTTGGCCAGAGTTTGTCAGGTTTTTTTCCTTCTTTTGAATTTATAGTCACTCTATTTCATCACTTCTCTATTAATATTCTACAAAATACAAAAAGAAAAAGAAAAGAAAAGAAGTTCAACAACAAAAGAAATTTGATATGTTCAACATCTTACATTTATTATCCTCAACTTTCCTCCTAACTCTCTAAATTTAGTAAGAATCACATTTTTAGTAAATGTAAACGGTTGAAATTTGCTTCAAGTCAGCATTTGCGACTTATTTTAAATTAAAATCACGAAATATCAATGAAAATAATATTGGTTCCAACATACTATATACATTGATAAATTCTAAAATTATTAGTGTAATTTACTTTTGTTGACAGTTGGCAAATTACTTGAAAAGTATTGGAGTTGGGAAGGGTGATGCAGTTATCATTTACTTGCCTATGCTAATGGAACTTCCAATTGCTATGCTTGCCTGTGCTCGCATTGGTGCCATTCACTCGGTAATATTTCTCTCGCGTAAATTGTAGCTATTTGATCTTCTTCTAATTTATCGATATCTCGTTCAATTATTTATGCAAAAATATTTATAAAAATTTACTCATGCTCGATATTTATGCATAGGAATTAGTTATTTGAAACATAATGATTGAAGTTGTACAGGTAGTATTTGCGGGGTTCTCAGCAGAATCACTTGCACAGAGAATTGTGGATTGCAAGCCAAAAATTGTGATAACATGCAGTGCAGTTAAGAGAGGAGCAAAGACTATTTTTCTCAAAGACATTGTTGATGATGCCTTAACACAATCTGCCCAAAATTCAGTCAAAATAGGTCACTAAATTACTACTAATTAATATCCAAAAATATTACTAATGCGCTACATATATATAATTTCTTTTTACTCTCTTCTTTGCAGATGTGTGTTTGACTTTTGAGAATGAATCAGCATTACAAAAACAAATGACTAAATGGGTTGAAGGAAGAGATATTTGGTGGCAGGTTAGTTCAAACTTCAAACCAACTTTGAAATTCGAAAGATGTCACATAAATTGAGACTGACGGAGTACTGCTTTTCGTTTTATACGTGTAGTTTAGGTTATATTATATTTACAAATTTTTATTTCAGGATGTAGTTCCAAAATATCCAGTTACATGTGATGTAGAATGGGTTGATGCCGAAGATCCACTTTTCCTACTTTACACTAGTGGTAGTACTGGAAAGCCTAAGGTAAAATTTCATGTTTGTATCGATTATTATATATATATGTTACAATATTTTGATGGGTTTTAGTTGATGTTAATATATTAAGGGTGTTCTTCATACAACTGGAGGCTATATGGTATACACTGCTACAACATTCAAGTATGCATTTGACTACAAACCAAAAGACATTTATTGGTATGTCCTTCAACACATTTAGTTTCTTTCTTCAATATCTTTACCAAATGGATTTATGTTATATATATATAATATAATGTCCCAAAAGTATGACGGAGGGTATCTGCATACCATTTACACGATAGTTTGGGGGTATATTTGTCCTTTTTCCCTTTATTTATTAATTATAATACTTTTTTTGTTGTTGGGTTTTGTAGGTGTACAGCTGACTGCGGTTGGATTACTGGTCATAGTTATGTTACATATGGACCTTTACTGAATGGAGCAACCAATGTGGTTTTTGAAGGGGTAATATGTTACTTCATTTTAACATTTTTCTTAAAAAAATATGTTTGAGTTTCATTATAGATAGATATGAATAACCCCCAAAAAAAATATGTCTAGTGATTTTTACCTTATATATGACTCATATGTTGCAGGCTCCGAATTTTCCAGATGCGGGACGTTGTTGGGATATTGTTGATAAGTATAAAATTTCAATTTTTTACACCGCTCCCACATTAGTAAGATCTCTCATGCGCGAGGGAGACGAGGTAAGTCTACACCATACTCTATTATCTAATTCTCTTAATCAATTACTTTCAAGTAATTTGTGTTCCACATGAGGGTAGCTCAATATACATTTTTACAAAATAAATTTTAATATTATTTATGTAAAAATAAAATCATAAAAAATAGTTCACTTAAATTTTATTTTGGCTCCAAGAGTAAAAATTCTTCTGATTCGAGAAGTTTATGTATGTACCTAAATATAATTTTCTTATTATTTGATCATAAAATGTTTCTTGTTATTATGGAAATATTTTTAATTTGTTAATAAATTTATTTATAGCATGTGACTCGATATTCAAGAAAATCTTTGAGGGTGCTGGGAAGTGTTGGCGAGCCAATCAATCCTAGTGCATGGAGGTTTCTATCTTATACCTATATATGCATCTTTTAATTTATTTTTCTTTAATATGACAACTTTCTGAAAAACAAATACTAATCTTTTTTAAAAAATGTTTTCGGGCAGATGGTTTTTCAATGTTGTAGGAGATGGAAAGTGCCCTATATCTGATACATGGTGGCAAACAGAAACTGGAGGTTTCATGGTAATTCCTCTTTTCTCTATATAATAATAATGAAATGAAATGAAGCATATCAAATTCTTAGTTTCTTCCAATACATCCGTCTAGTTACTGACATCTTAAGCTTTTTAGATGAGATGATCACACACTATAATGCATTTGTAAGTTGTTGAATAAACACTACAGTGTACGTACGTACCCTGTTAGAGTTGAGTTCATTATTATTATTTTTTGTCTTGCAGATAACTCCAATGCCAGGAGCTTGGCCCCAGAAGCCTGGTTCTGCTACATTACCATTTTTTGGTGTCCAGGTAACCTATAACAGGACGCATGCTACATTTTATCGCGATTACAATACGTCCACTATGATGTAATAAATATTTATTAATTATTGTAGCCTGTAATAGTGGACGAGAAGGGTGTAGAGCTAGAAGGTGAGTGTAGTGGATATTTATGCGTGAAAAATTCATGGCCTTCTGCATTCAGAACACTTTACGGAGATCATGAAAGATATGAAACTACATACTTTAGTGCCTTTCCTGGATATTACTTTACGGGTGATGGTTGCAACAGGTACATACCTGGTTAACTAATTTTCATGATCATAATACATACGTATGTACGTGTATATATAAGCTCTTTGTTGCATGTATAGGGACAAAGATGGTTACTACTGGCTCACTGGCAGAGTAGATGATGTTATTAACGTCAGGTACATATATACACGCGTTCTAATTCATCCAATTTACTTGCTTTTGTTATTTGAACTATATGGTGCATATGTACAGTGGACACCGCATTGGCACAGCTGAAGTAGAGTCAGCTTTAGTTTCACATCCTCAATGTGTTGAAGCTGCTGTTGTTGGCGTGGAGCATGATGTTAAAGGACAAGGGATATACGCGTTTGTTACTTTGGCTGAAGGTGTTTCATATAGTGAGGAACTCAGAAAAAGTCTTATCAAAGTTGTTAGAGATAAGGTATGATTTTGATTCGTCTTTGTTAGAAAGATATGAAAACTGGCCTAATGTCGAAAAGTAATAAAATTATGTGACGTTAATGTTAGATTGGAGGTTTTGCTGCACCAGACAAGATCCATTGGGCACCAGGTCTACCAAAGACAAGAAGTGGCAAAATAATGAGAAGAATATTGAGAAAAATTGCTTCAAACAGCTTAGATGAGCTTGGGGACACAAGTACTTTGGCTGATCCTACTGTTGTTGATCAACTTATTGCACTTGCTCATTCTTGATGCCACTTTAATTTTACCTTATTCTTAATTAATTCCGCGATTGTTTGTGTTTTGACATCAAAATCTTGTCTCAACTTCGATTCGAGACGCAACGCCTTCTAAAAGATGCAATCCTTGGAGTGAACACACATGTCCAGATTATGTAGCCTTTATTGGTGGACGCAGTAGCATGTCTTACTGTCTACTTATATTTGACATGACACCTCATATATATGAGCCTGCACTTTTTGAGATAATATGGGTGTATATTATTCATAAAAAGTGGTGGTTTTTCATTTTGAAAATGACAAAACTGCAATAGTTCCAGCTTGTCTTTACCTTCCTTTTGTGTTGGGTTATTATTCAACTATATTAATGTATATGTTTATTCAAGTATTTATTTGATAAGTGATCATTGTTCAACTATCTATGTTGTGGCATTTTATTTGAATGGACAATGAGACAAATTTCATTCACTTTTGAAATAAATTATGTTTATATTTGCAAAGTTATTCTGAAATGATGAACTATACCTCATTGCTTTCATATATGATCCAAGTGCAAATGAAAATAAATTGGACTTTGATCCATATTGTTGCATAATGATGTATCAAGTATCATTTAATAGCTAATTTTGCTTCACTTAGTCTAAATTTGCTGGGGGAAAAAGTAGTCTAAATTTGCTTATGAGTGAGTTCCTTCCGTACACTCTAGTTTGACCTTTACAGACAATTTTCTTTTAGCTTCCAACTTCAAAGCTTGATTTCATCTGTCTTCTCTAATTTCAGAAATCTAGTACTATTATTGACATGGAAGAAGTTCATTTTGAATTGCCAGTACAGTGATTGGAGATCTTCCTCAAACAACTTTCAACCACTTGCGACAAAATTTTCAAACCTATCTAGTATGAAAATATTGACACAAAAAGTGAAAATATACAAGTATGAAAGTTGACAAATAAGCACATTGAAGATTTTGAAGGAATTACAAACTAGCCCTCCATATATGAAGTACAAAAGAATGAAGTTGAAGTTAATAGAAACTATCTCCTATTTAAACTAAGATCTTGGGAAAACCAATAAGCTTGAGTGGCACTTTCTTTGTTGAATATAGCACTTGAAGTAGCATCACCACACTCTTCAAACTTGGTTGAAGTAGAAAAACTTATCTCCTTTTCTTTATTATGACTTTTCAACCTTTTTTTACTATTGCTAGGTCCAATACTTAGTGTTAGCTCCACATTTGTTTCCTCATCATTTCTCATCTTCTCATCCTCATAATTACTAGTTGAACTTCTTTCTTCCATTTCAATATTCAATCCTCTAATTGGTATTAATGTTGTTTTTGAGTTCTCACCTGAGCAACTACCACTTGTTTCTCTTTGTTGATCATCTCCTAAACCATAAACATTAACACCATTAAACTCTAGTTCTCTTCTAGGCTGTTGCCAAGTAGACATGTTGTTGATCATAGACTTGTGTCTTGGATCCTCTATCCTTGACATCTCATTCTTCACATCCAACATCAGTTTCCTTTGAAGATTGTATAGTTTGTGGAGCTCTTTTACCTGTCGCAGTTTAAGTTATATGCACTGACCAGTATTAGACAATCATACTACTTCATTGACAATAATTGTAGGTAACTTCCTATAATAAGTCATTAACTAAATGGCAACCTAAAAGAAAAAAACATGCTATAACAAGTTGAATTACACAGATAATGTAAAGATCATTTATACTATTTGTCACTATAACAAAAACACTTTTAGCGGCAATAAATATACATATTAACAAAGAGTGCTAAAGCATTTACACACATTAGTTAATTGTCATTGAATCCAATGTCGCTATAGGCTTTAGGAACACTTAATTACAAAAAATGCTAATTGCTATTGAAGTACATATTAGTGATAATTAAATGTCACTAAAGATCATTTTTGGTGTAGCGCGTATATAATATAAATCCATTTGTTTTTACTTGGTCAACTTTTCCTTCTTTATTTCTATAGATCCATGCGCAGTTAAGCTAATCATAAAAAAGTGAAATTAATTAGGGTGTCATTGACTAGACAAATTGTGAAGCATGTGATTTTGATCTGTCACAAACTGGATGACAATAATTAAATACTCAAGACTACCTTTTATCTCCTTAATCTTAGGGGTACACTAATGGACCAATTAACTAATGACTATAAAAAGAAGTACATCAATTTAAATAAACACTCCCTCCATTTAATTTTGTTTGGCTATTTCAGAAAATGATACATTTCTATATCTTTCTAATGAGAATATTTATAACGGTACAAATGTTATGCTGATTTAAGATTACAATTTTCCGTAGTCACACGAATATTATGACTTGTTTAACACAATAAAATTTAAAAAATATTTCATTCTCTCTTAAATGTCAAGGCAAAATCAAACTGTATCAAACAAATTGAATGAAAGGAAATATATACATAAATATGTGTACCTGCTGCTTGAAAATATCCTCATGCATGATCATTGTCCTCTTGATGGATTCTGTACTACTCTTCAATTCAATAATTCTATCCATTTTGATTTGCCAATTTTGTATGAATTGTTTGGGGAATTACTAGCTATTGGATTTTTGGCATATAAGAGTCTTGTTCCCATTCCTGCAAATATTCAATATTAGTGAAATTAAGAGAGATGAATGTCAATAAGAGTTTTGTTTCAAAAAGAATATTTCGAAGATTACAAATGATATTAAGGGTAAAATAGTAATAAGACCACCGTACATCTTTATATTTTATAGCAATATGATTATCGGAGTAGGAACCTTATTTGTATATGATGATGATCTTTTCCTTGTATCTCAAGCCACCACATCACCCATGGTAAACTTGTTTGTATATATGGATAATAATAATGTGGAGAGCAATATGGAACACTTATAGTAAGAGACTTTTAGAATGAATGCAATCTTATAATAGAGTTACCTGATACAGGTTATCGATATTCAGTGAGAAGTGAAAAGTATTCCACGAAATTAGCATGGAAGTTAGACCAGACACAACGATTACTATTTATTAAGAAAAAAATCTAATTAAAAAATGTATGTAGTTGTAGAATATCTTAAATACTCCACTGGGCCGAATATTGTTCCACCATTGTCACTTCTAATTTTTTTTATTTATTATCATGTTTACTTTCATTTCGACATTATTAATAAATAAAAAAAACAAAGTTCCTTTAGCTTGCCTTTGAAATTTATACCACATCAAGTGGTTCAAAGATTAATTACTTTACGTGGTAAACAATATGTGTGTGTTTCAAAAGATCAAGTCAAAAATTGCTGCAAGAATCTCATCTAAAGGAACACCAATTAATTAGTATTCAGTATAAAGTTAATCATCTTTTTTTTAGTGCATGCTTAGATGCCTTTTCTAATGTACTTGTTTGAATCTAGATTTTTCCACTTGATGTTTGATATCTTCTTAAAGCTCAATAAATTTTAAATTTATCGAATTTTTTTACTTTTGAAGGTAATTAAGGGTTGAATATTAAAGAAGACATTATTTTCAAAATTAGAAATCAAAATCTTTAATTAAGAATATAAAAATACTCAAAAGTTTTTATTAGTAACTTTAAACTTTGGGTGGTGTTTCATTAATCTTTTTGTGTTTGCCCTTAATTGGCATCAATCACGTTATAATAAATTTGAAATAATGGGGAAATTATTGATATAGAAAGTTAAAAGCTTTTATTAGTCTTCTTGAAAGTCAAATAAAGGCATTGGATAAAACTTGTATATGACGCAAAAGATGCCAAAATATATCAAAAAAATAAAAATAACACACACACTCATACACTGTGCCATAACATCCAAAGCTAGAAATTCATTGTTTTCTTTTTGTGCAACAGTTTCATCAATTCATATTAAAAAGATTTACAAGACTTTTGATCTTCATATAGTTATAAAACTTAAATTGCAAGACAATTTCAAATTATTCAAAATGTATACTGAAAATAATAAAAAGAATACAAGATTCATGAGATGACAAACAAAAATGTAGAAATAATTGCATTGAAAAAACAAAAAGGGGAACAATATTTCACATCAATATGAAGCTAATGAGAATATATTATATATTCTCATTAATTTGTGGAGAAATCAATTATTTATATTAAATAAAAAGGAAGAGGAATTAAGTTACCTGAAATTTGAAGTATGATGGGATCCAAGGAATTCTTTCATTGAAAGATAGATTGTCTTTAATTTTTTGTTATCAATTGATGATTTGCACCTCTCCTTTTTTTTTTTTTTTTGTGACAAAAAAATTAGGAGAGAATTGAGAAAATTAAAGAAGCAAAGAATGGGTTGAGCTTGAATGAAACAATAGATGATATTTTACATCTTAATTAGAATATCATCTTTTACACCTTTTTCTTGGAGAGACAACAAAGCAATCTTCCAATAATTAATTGATTAATTACATTAAAACGTTTAATTATTCATCTTGACAGCCTGTACTGTGTATGTCCAATGTGTGTGTATGTGTGTGAGAGAGGGAGGGAGATTAATAGAAAGAAAACGTTAATACTCTCTTTAATAAATGTACAAAAATTTGTTGGAAGAATACCAATATATTATGGAAGGAAAGATCAAACGTTTTGAGATTAGAAGGGGGATTAGGACGAATTTAAAGTTTATGAGTTGAAGATTCTAGTTTTTTTAATTTATTGAATAATCAGTTGATAATTATCGACAACTAATTATAACAATCCACAGTAATGGGGGTGGGAGATGACACTTATGGATGGCTATGATGGTGGTTGATATTGGTGGCTAATGGTGATAATGGTAAATAAATGAAATTGGTGAATCATCATCTTTGTAGAAATCTTATAATAAATATCTTAATGATATTAAAACTTTGTTATAAATTTTAATAAGTCTGCAGACTCATTAAGTGATTGTAACATGAATAAAAACAAGCACACTTAGGAGTTGTTTGGTAGGGAGTATTAATACGAATACTTCATGTATTATGTATGATATTATTTAGTACTATGTTTGGTAGGATTTTAGGCCAATGCATTACTAATTGAGATTGATATTCCAATCTTTCTTCTTAGAACGTATTGATTTGACCCCATAAGCGGGGCCAATCATGTTGCCGCCAGAAGCAAAACCCCGTATAGAATCTCCTAATTGTTCCAAAGCTACTAGAAAGGGATTCTTTAACCATGAATTAGTTATACATATATCTTCCATTTGGTCATATTAGTAATACATAAAATTTGGTACCATGGGATTGATCTTTGTAAATACAAAAATAGCCCTCAAATCTTTTTAATCATTTTCTTGATTTTATGTTTTATATTTATACTTGTAAATTTATTGAAATAAATTAGCTTATTATTTAGAGAGAAAGTTGTTTGTTGGTAAATAAATCCAATGTAAATCAATACAATAATTCAATGTAAATAAATCCATGAGGTTGGCCCAAAATCTTATCCAAGCGAACAAAAAATATCAGACTTTTCCAAATCCATACTACCCTTCAAGAGTAGATCGTAATGAAGAAGGACACGACGACTCACCATCAATGTTAACGTCAGAAAATCAATAAAAATAGATGAATTTTAGATATATACACTTTAGGCATTTACAAGTTTCACATATGTTGTGTGTCAATTTCACTACAAGAAAGAAAAATGTCAATTACATAGGGATTTTTCTGGAGATTGTAGAGGCAAATTCGCAAGTTCCTACGAATTTTCCTATAAAAAAAATCCGATGGTAAAACCTTTCTAGGTAATTATTTTCTTACTTGGGAATTTTCTTGCAAATAATATTAAAAATATCCCAAATATTTTTGGTAAAAAAAACAGATTTTTCTATAAACAATATTAATTATTATATTATCATCCGATAATTTTTATTTTTTTATTTTATTTTGTTCATTATACCCTAGGCCACATACACACTTACTTTGGATTTCTAGTTTTAACTCCACACAGCCCATTCATTCAATATATTACAATTACACATTACACAACTTAATTAATTTCATGCCCACCACCCTGTACATATTTCCTCAAATTTAATTCTCTTTCTTTTCTTACTAAGAAGATTATAAATGCAAAATATTTGGTGTCTTCCACCGATGTGGTACGAAAAGTACCATTGACACAATCAATTTTTGGTGTCTTTCCCTAATTTGTTCAATTTTTAAATTTAATCATGACTGTTTTTTTCACCCTCCTTTGTTGATTGTGAGTGAGTTTCCTATTGAAAATTTCTAATTCTTAGATTTGAGACTTGGTTTCTTCTGTCCATGTTTAAAATTATTCTTGCATCTATTGATAACTCTTTGTATGATATACTATCAACACCTGCAAAAAAGTTAAAAAATTTCACAATTTTATTTTACTCTTTTATACACATGCTCCACCACTATTGAAACGCCTTCCATCAATCTCAAAATCCTCCTTACTTTTAAAGCAACACTCAAAGGAATCTCCTATATATCATCTACGATTTTTTTAACAAAAAAAAAAGAATCCATTTTCATAGAAAGGCAGAATATTTTGAGTGATAAAATATTCCAATTCAAGCCTAAATGCTTTAACTTTAAGAGTTCTGTCTTCAGCTAGAGAATTTGAATACATCATATCCTAGGGTAATAATGATTCAATCAATAAATCAGATCAGACCATGAAGAAGACATATTTATTAACATAGTTTTGGCCATTAAATATTAGATTATTCCTATTAATACCCATCTTCATGAGATGCATGTAACCTTTCTCCTTCTCCATATTTTTCACACAATAATAAACATAGGTATAACTTTAAACAAAGGCTTCAATTTAGGAGCCACATCTTTTGTTTCCACTTATTAAATATGTCTCTAAACTGGATAAAGCAATTGCTGCAAAAAAAATTCCACATTATCTCATAATCGAGGCATATAATGAAAAGGTGTTCAATAGTTTCTTGATCATAGCAACAACACGCCACAAAATAAAAAATTCTGACAACTTCTTCAACTGACAGTTTTTTCCGAGTTAATATCTTAAAAAGCTAGCAAAGTCATTAAACTTTGTTTTATATCAATAAAATCACTCAACTTAAGACATTTATCTACAAAAATCACTCAACTACATTTATCATTAAAATAAATTATTTTTTAGGCTATATAAACATGAACCCCCTAAAAAATAATGTTTTTAAAAACCATTTTATCCTTTTTATCAATGATTCAGTTCCTTGTCTAACCACAAACGAAAATAATTAAATTTTGGGTGTAAAATACATATTCATAAGAGATCCACAATCATATTACAACCAGCTAGCGCCTAGCAACATAAATGTAATGAAATTTTATAAATCACATTCAAGGAATTGAAAAGAAAAACCGCACGTTATTACTCATTAATTATTTTGGTTTATACACTATTACTCATTTATTTATATTAATATATTTGTATATGGAGACTGGACTCTGGAGTATCTAACCAATAGATAATAATTATTTCAGCAAACAACAAAAAAAACCTTTTACGAATAGTGGCACAAAATCTAGAAAATGAAAATTGAAGCAACGTGGGAAATGCGGGTTTATTCGGAGGTTGAATATAAAATTTTGACTTCTGAAATTCA